GAAATCATTGATGCCGGACGGTGAATAAGCTTGCAATATTACAAAGTCCTTGAATTTATTTTAAGATGCGTAAAGAGAGTATGTGTTATTTCGTGTTGTTTGTTGCACATATACGTTTACGGCGACTAAAATTTTAATTAATTTTCTCGTGGCATAATACAATTGTCGGAACCATATTAAAATATAATCGTATGTGTATATTATATTATGTAAATCATAAATGTTAGGTATTCGGCGTGTCACGACTAATATTTTGGTTTTAAGTGTTTCCGAAAGTACAAGCGAATCGCCAAAAGTACAAAGGTGGAAAACTGAAAACGTAATATTATTATATAATGCCGCATTCGAACTATCTCACATCGCATTATGACGATAAACCGCAGATCGAGTAATCGAGTAAATAGCTCTATTGCTCACTTGCTGGTGTAAGTTTTTCTCGTGAAGCCCCAGAATCACTGAACACAAGATCTGCTAGGAGGGACGGGTCGCAACAGTATGTAATAAAAGTACGAGTAGTACTATTATTACTAGTATCTCTAGTATATTATATAATAATACTAGTATTATTACAAGTATCCAAGATTTTATCCCTGAATACTATCCTTAGATGTCTTATTTAATAATGCAGTGGTAAATCGATAAAGAAAATATAAATATATTTATGAGTCAGTATAATTTTGTAGTTTTCTTTTTCCTACGAACTTCGAATTAAATTAACACAATTTTTAACGAGGCTTCTGAATCAAATTTTTAATCTATGTATATAATCCAAATACCACTGACTCACTGATCGCTGTATCTTAAAATATATGCAACGTACGGACTTGAAATTTGGAATAGAGGTTCTTCTCATATTTTCACCGTGCAATAAGAAAGGATTATTCGAAAATCGCATATTTAAGGGTCGAAACAGTTTTGGATTGGATGCATACATTTTTCAATTTTTGATTACCTAGGAAATATTTGATTTGTTTAATATGGTGATTTTAATAATCACCGATTAAGAATTATGTAAGTTATTAAACTGTATAACAACATAATCGAAGCCATCATTTTAAACGAGAAATGTAAAAGTGAACATGTACTATTAACACGCATCCCAATGACTTCAATAGATAAGCAATTAGAATTCAAACTTTTGAAGTTTCCAGTGTGACTCGTTTTTGCAATGATCATTAACAATTTACAAGGACAATTAAAAGAATATGTTGACTGAATTTAGAAAATTCATGCTTCTCACATGGATAATTGTATGTGGCCTGTACACGCGTCAGAAAACCTTCTGATTTATTTGTGTACGAACCAAAAAAAGGAAAAACAAAAAATATTGTATAATCTAAATACACTTTAATAAATAGCATCTATTTGAAATCTCGAATTATCAGAATTTTCTCAATAAAATGAATAAATAAAAAAATAATAATCCAAAATAAATTTAAAATTTTTGTACGGATTTTAGTATATGTTTAAATATTGTAAACAGTACAGGAAGATGTGAGAGACATGGGTATATTTAATATTTACTTATTATAATACATAACAAATTAATATTTCAGCAGTTATTTTGGGTGATTTATACTTAAAAAGGTATAGGTTCAACGGTAACACCCAAAAAGAGTTGAACTCTCACAATTTTCTAAACGGACAACGTCAAGTATTACTCCTCACTGACCATCGCTGCATATCAAAACTATATGAACTCGAAATTTAACATGGTGGTCTCTCCAATATTTAATACATGTAATGGATTTTAAAAAATATTAAAAATATTGGAACAAGCAAATACGGTAATTCAGAGATAATTCAGCGTATTACCAAAATTACTATACTGATTCATTTGAACTTTCGTTTTATTTGTTTTATAAGCACCAACAGTTACACCAAACTTGGCTTTAAATTGTGTAAAGTAATAATCCATTAAAACCTATATCACGCCCAAGAATGTTCCGTGTGAAGCCGGGTAATTAAGCAAGTATTTTATATAAAATTCAACGAAAAATACATTATCTTAAACTTTTGTAGTGATAAAATGCAAAAGTGCACATATTTTGACATAGTTAAAGTATTGTTCTTGTTAGTACTTTGATTAATAATAAAAATATATCATTCCAGAAAAATATTTCAACGTAAAAATAACTGTTTTCAAAAGCAGCTATATTTATCGGATAGCATATTGTTTTTATACTACAAAAAACTAAAGACTTAAGAACTCGCACTAGATCTTGTATAGCTTATATATATATATATATATATATATGTACATATCCGTCATACAATTCACATTTCGTGTGAGTGAACTGAAACAGTTGTGCAGGGATGTCGTAGGAGATAAGTATTAAGAAGTAGGTTTGATTTTGCGGCAACGCTAAGGTTATAACAAAACACAGGAGCCACATCAGCTTGTTAGCATTTTAAATATATTACGGCTTTATGCACAACGTCTAGATGTCGACCATAACTATCACTATAATACCTTGCGGCTTCTACAAAGCTCGTAGAAAAACGACTTGGGCGAATTGAAACTCAATTATAAAACTGTTAACACGTGGTATATAGCATGGTCGTCGCCTCCACTAACAACGCCTTCATGGTTTTGGTCGAAGTAGTAGTGAAAAAAACTCACCCTTACTAAGTGACTAATATTAACACGTGCCTACGTTTTGAAAATCCATTAAAATAATTAAGGGACCGGCTCGTGTGGGTGAGTGTGCGGAGAGCGGAAAGAAAAGAAGACAATTTAACAAATATATATATATATATATATATTTATATATATTACTGTACGCCGTTGTATAACGAGAGTCCTTTATAATAGTTTCTCTTTATCCTCTCTGACTATGAAACCATATGATATTTGGTCCTCAGTCTAGGGGCGTGCAACAACAACGACACGCGGCGTATTCTTATCGATAACTTTTAACTCTTTATTTTCATTATCTTAATTTTTTCCCAGTTGGCGGGGGCTCTTTTACACTTAAAAATTCTAGATCAATACCATCAACGCTGTCGTCCTGAACTGGCTGATTTTTTGAGCGTTGTTCATCAAATAATTTTAATATTTCCCTTTGAAACCCCACCCATCATTTATTATTAAAGTTTAGATTACATGTTAGTCCACATTCTCGTGTACGATCCACTCTTACGAATACGTATGTTTTATATTTGCTATGGCGCAAACAAGATATACGAAAGAGGACAATTTTATTTTACACTTCAATAGAATACACAAATTATATTAAAATTTCATACTTTTCGTGTTTGAAGATTATCATCGGATAGCTTTCCGCCATTATTAATATTGTCAATAATATTTTGGGATATAATATCCTATGGGATATTATTTTATATCAAGCTTAATGCAAATTGTATTTTATTATATTTGTATTATAAATAGAGAAAAAAAATAATGCTCATAATCAATGAGATCACATCCCCTTCCTTATTTTCATTAATATATGAGTACATAGGATTTTATTTTCTATGCAGTTGTATACAGTCAGGATTTATAAAATGAAGATCGTAGTTGTAGAATAAATTTAATCAGCTTTATGTTTTTATAAATCGTGTATGTGTATAGTAAAAATGATGATATAACAGTTTAATTTATAATCGAATAGTTTTTATGATAAATTATTAATTTTCTAGTTCAAAAGAAATCGTTATATAATTTATTTTATAGTAATATAACTAATAATTATTAGGTAAATTTAAGAGGCTATGATGATAATCCTACAGTTGGGCTAGAATGAGGGAGGTGGATCAACACCGGTCTCTAAATTAGATAAGGACTTTGGTTGACGGTTAGTTCTTCAGAGTGTGAAAGCATGTAAGCAATTTTAATTTAAATGGTATGTAGGTAATTTTTTAATAATTTGAATTGACCACATCGATGTACAGTAGATAAAGGGGGAGGGGAGGATGTGTTAAATAATGATCACAAAAAAGGAGCATCGTTGTTTTTGCTGATCAATGAAAATTTCGTTCTGCAGAAACCCGATCCGCACAATAACTGTCCTGAGAAAGAGAAGAGAATGAGAATGGTTGTGCACTCATTGGATCACTATAGCAGAATATCGGAATATCGCATAAAATACAGTGTTATAAATAAAAACTCATGTGTTCGCAAATAACGTGAATCATTGAGGTTTGAGTTGTGTTTCGGGCGAGAAATTGAACTGCTGGCAATATGTTACGTGCTCCGCCGCCATCATCGTGGCGTATGTGTATACCGTGGGCTCATATCACTCCCTCTTGCCCCCCCCCCCCCATAGATTGTCCCGCGGACCACTGTGTACTCACGCGTGTACAACTACAAGGTACTGGATGGAGGCAGGTGAGAAAAGGAGTGATTGTATGTGGGTGGACAACAGTATATCATAGGTGGTGGAATTAGCTTCTCGACTGGTGCGCATGTGCGTATACATTCACGCATACACGTTCACACATATACCTGTATGTAGACGAAAACAAAGAGATGTACGTCGTATAAAAGTCGACAGTACCGCGAGCGTCGAATGAAAAAGAAAAAAATTTTTTAGATAATAAAGTGAAAATAATTTGTGAAAAAAACTTTCCCCTTTAAATGTATGTACACTCAGAAAAATATCTTTCAATGTTTTAATGAAATGGAACCATTATTTTGAAGTTCAACGATTTACCTAGAATTAATACTAAATTATATTAAATTAATCAAATTTTCTTTAAAATAAATACATATTCAATACATTAATATCCATAATTTAAAGATGACCAAATCAAATTAACGAAAAAAAAATGTTTGAAATAATGAAGTCTATAGATTCGTTTCAAGCATACATCCTACTTAAATGAATAAAAAATATAATTAATTTAAAGAATAGTTTGATAGGTTTGAATACCTCTAAGGCCCTATGTTTTAATGATAATAAAACATTATTTCTAATAAATGTTTTATTCTAGATTAATACTAAATTTATGTAAAATAATGATTATTTCTTTCAACCAATAACCAAATATATCTTTAGTTTAATTAAATGAGTATTTATTTGTAAGCACTAGATTTTTCTTAAAATCAATACAATTACGTCTATGATATAATTATACTATGCCATCAATTGATTCAACACTCAAAGTTTATTTTAGAATTTATGGGTAGGATTTTCTCGATCTATTATTAACAATATTAACTAACAATTATTTTGATAACGGCGATCCGTATATTGGCGACGGCCGCGGCGGTGGCAGCGGCGGAAATTGAACATTACAATCGAACCAATTAACACGCTCTGCTATTATATTTAGTTATTTGTAAAAGTGTTAACTACCCGTTGCAGTCTTACTTCGTGTTTCGTGTATACATGCTCTTTATATTGTTTCAACATGGAAAAAATTATTTTGAATGCTCCCGTGATCATCGAAGATATTGAATTTCCTGATCAATCCGACTTACTCAATTTATTAATTAAATTAAAAGGAGATTGTTTCTTCAACGCATTTATTGGTAAGTACCCACATTTTTTTATTTGTATTTTAACGGTTTATACTTGTAAATACATCGAGAAAGAGATTTACAATACGTTATATAACTATTATTTGTAGGTATTTATACTACTTAGTGTGCGTTTTATAAATATATAATTCTAAATTTCAAACACTATATAATCTATATTTTAGAATATGGAATAACATCTGAAAGCCTTAAATACACAAACGAAAAACACTTAAATAAAATTTGTCCAAAAAATTTGTATGGACAAAGAATTATATTTGAGAATCATTTGAAAAAGTGGCAGTCTAACTTTGTTGGTGTAAGTTAATCAAAATAGAAGTTTTTAACTGGTAGATGGGATATTTTAAAAGGGCAACTAATCTTTCTTTTGCAGAAACAGTCTACTGTTAATGCAAGTAATGCATTAGATTATTCATCAGATTCAGAGATTTCTGAATACTCTACTACAAGCTCCAGTAGCAGTAGTCCAATTTCTTTTAAAAATCAAGTAATTAATTCATAATACTTAAACTTATTAAATGAATACATATTTATTGATTTATTAAAATGTTAAACTAATTTTTAACTTTAGTTGTTTACTATTTTTTTCAAAATGTTTACTATATAACATTATACCATCATTTAAAATAGGTATTATGTGTCAATTAGTATATAGATAGTATAAGTATAACTTAAAATATATTTATGATGACGATACACCCGCAGGTGGTGTCTCCGTCTTAAAAACGTGCAACATGGAAAAATTTTAGTTTTCTGAATAATCCATTAAACGCTGTTATAGTAAATATTGGAGTGAATTTAACTATATTATCAAATGTAGAAATGAGAATATTATCTGGTGAATTTCATAGATATTTTTTTATATTTTAATTTTAAAGCATGTTATGAATATATTTTAAAAAGAATAAATTGTTTGTGCATTTTGAAATATTCTTAACTTACATTAATCTAAAAAAGATCTAAGGAGTTCACTTAGATAAAATGCTCACTTTTAAATTTGATAATAGGTCAATTTGTTCCAATATTTATCATAAAAGTGTTAAATGGATTATTCAGCATGTACAATTTGCTATGTTATGCATTTATAAGACCAGAGACAACACTTGCGAGTGAAGCGCCCTCTTAATAATATTTATAACATAAAAGTTCTTTGTAAAAACAATAGGTATTGGTTTTTTTTTTTATTTAAGATATGTGTAGAAGATATATTAAATTTATCTGGAAAGGGAAGTATGATATTGTCATTTTACCAAAAAAATTTAAGGCTAAATGAAGAATTAAGAAAAATGTTATCTGAAATAATTATTGAATACATGGTCCAGAATAAAGTTTATGCATCTCCTAAAATCATTGAGTATATTTCTGACGGTATTGTTAATATATTCAAATCTGAAGTCAAGGTTCGTTTTTACAATTTGAGATCTTTGATTTAAATTATTGTAATTTTAAACAAATGTTTTCGCCCTGTATAGGAAACATATTTCATAAATGTACCTGGTAAAAAACCAAAGGGAATATTGTACCAAAAGTATCATAATACATTAACCAAATTACGACGACATCAGTTATGGTGTCCTCCAAAAAAAGTGAAAAAAAATTCTGATGTTGCTACGTTAGAGGAAATATCTACATTACAAAAGATAACTATAAGTAAATAATTGTATAGTCATAAATAGATAAATAAACCAATTTCAGTAATAGTTATGGTAAATGGTTATTGTTATATGTACCTATATAGTAAATGAAGATTTAATTGAATTAAAGAAATGGCTTCAGTTTTATGTTGAACCTATTAGTGAAGTAACTTCAAAATGGCAAAAAACTTGTGAAATTCGTAGAGATTATTTATTGTCACAGAATATCAACATAGCTGATATTCTTGACGAATGGCCTATTTTGAAACAGTCATTTGCCTACAATTTGGTAATATTTTATTTTATTGAATTAAAATTTTTTCCAACTGTGTATACTAAGTAGTTATAAATGCACGCCCTATATCTAATAGTTTGGCTTTGTATCAAAATAATATATTACTAGTCTGCCATTTTGTTAAATGTTTTGTGGCTTAATACTTGTAGTTTATATTAATTTTAACATTAGATTGTTTTTATTTTAGATTGATATTGATTTTGATTATATACATCCTACAAAAGGAAACTCACTGTTTGTGAAGTGGGATACATTTATTATTAATATTATTCCGTTAATGATCACTAACATAAAAGATGGAAACAGCAAATTATTACTCAAGCGTTTAATAGAAATTAAAGAAACAGATATTGGTACAATATTTAAAAGCTATAATTTTAATTAATTCAATTAAGTAATGCTTATTTTTGTTTTTGTAGAAACCAGAAATCACTTAGTTTTGGATTTAATGAATGCTCTATTGGTTCCAACTTCCAGATCATTTGAAATAAATCCTCTTACCAACAAACGACGCATAGTCAAAACATCTATTTCCGATGCCAAAACGTCTTTTTTATTACAAGTGGTTTCACTGAATGATTTACATGTTCAATGCCAATTACAAATTGACAACGCTTACAAAAACAAAGAAAAAGTACAACCATTTATATGCATTGTTGGAGCTGACATAGATGGTACAAAAGATTTTTATGTATATTATTTCAATACTTATTATAAATTACCTAACATAGTTCGTGCATTAGACACATGTTTTAAAATTTTCCAAGTGTTCAATTTACAGTATCCCATTCAATCTGTTTTAGTTTGGACATTTATACAAACATTTCTCTATGATATTCATAATGAGTGTGATGTTAAAAGTTCTTCCTTAACATCATTAATTTCTGATTTATCTACTATTTAAATTCTCATAGTTAAATTTAGTATTTATAATATTGTTAATTCTTTTTTTTCAAACTAATATTTTGGTAACATGACTCATTTAAATAAATAAATATTTATGTATAACGATTTGTAAATATAAATTCATTTATTTAAACAATGGATCTAATTTGCTTTATTTGTAAAGATTTATTTACTGAACTTGATCAATTCATGGTACATTTAAAGTATGTTCATTCATTATCATCATCGAGTTTTTATCGCTGTGGTATATCGCATTGTTCACAAACTTTTTCGGCTTATCGTACATTTTCTAAACATATGAAATGTGAAATGTTAAATAATATAAATTCTAATCATAATTTTAAAAAAAATAATAATTCCTCAACTAAAATTGCAAATAACGCTAACACAAATATAGAAATGGTCACTTTAACACATGAACCTTGTGCTAATTATGTTGATATTGATGGTTTAGAAAAATGTGCAATAAAATTTTCTGCCCATTACTATGTAAAATTTAATTTTTCCAGGAAAGAGGCTATCCAACTTCAAAAAAAATGTAACAAACATAATAACCACTTCCATCGCTCATGAATTAAAGAAATTAATTCTTGACAATAACACTATACAAAAAAATGCACTTAAATCCATCATTCATTTCTGTGAAAATCCATTTGTAGGACTAGATACCGAGTTCAAATTTCTTAAATCATTGGAAATTAATGATTATTATGAAAAGCCTAAAATTATTACTTTGGATAACACCATAGATGATGTGCGAATGAATAACATTAACACTGTAGATGAAAAAAAAGTCAAAGGAGTTATCCTACCATTAAAATTTCAATTTAGAAAATACTTTGAGGCACCAGGTATTTTAGATTCTTACATTAAAAATCAAGATTTAATGAAAAATGAAAATGGGTTTACAAATTTCATTAATAGTCAACTATGGAAAGATAAAATGTTGTTGTTCAATGAGGACGGTGTCATTTATATACCCTACTTCTTATATTTTGATGACTTTGAGGTGAACAACTCGTTGGGTTCACATTCATCATCAGTTTTAGGTGTTTATTATTCATTTCCAACTGCTCCTGAAGCTCTAAAATCAAATTTAAATAATATTTTTGTAGCTGCCTTATTTAACTCGAAAGATGTAAAATTGATTGGAAATGATAAATGTTTTTATTTTTTAGTTGATGAAATTAATGAATTACAAAATCATGGAATAAATATAATAGTAAATGATGGAAAACAATTTAAGATTAAATTTCTGTTGGGTCTAGTTGTGGGGGATAACCTTGGAGTAAATAGTATTTTAGGATTTGCAAGGTCATTTTCATCTAATTATTTTTGTCGTTTTTGTATTTCTGACAAAAAAAGTACGCAAGAACTTACCAATGAAAGTATTAACTTACTACGTAATAAACAAAATTATGATGAACATATTAAGATTAATAATTGTAAAATTACTGGTATATATGAAGAATCTATATTTAACAAAATACATTCCTTCCATGTTGTTAAAAACTATGCAGTGGACATAATGCATGATATTTATGAGGGAATTTGTGTGTACAATATGAATCATATCATGTCATTTAATTAATTTGGGTTTTTTTTTAGTTTGGAAACATTAAATAGTAGAAAACAAGGATTTAATTATGGCGACACTGAAATTGGAAACATGTCCCCTCCTATAAAGCAAATTAAAATGAATACTTTGAAATTAAAAATGTCTTCAAGGGAAATGCAGACATTTATTCATTTTTTTCCACTTCTAGTAGGAGACTTGGTCCCTAAAAATAATCAAATTTGGTTGTTTTTGATCAATCTTATTGAGATGATTGATTTATTGTTGTTGCCAAAATTCAATAATCAAATTATTTTGAATTTAGAAAAACATATCACGTATCATAATAATAAATATACTGAGTTATTTCAAGATTCATTAAAGCCAAAACATCACTTTCTTATCCACTATTGTAATATAATAAAAAAGTCAGGGCCCTTAAAATATTTATGGAGTTATAGATTTGAGTCTAAGCATAGACAACTTAAAACATACACGAAAAACATAACTTCAAGAGTTCATATTCCTATTTCGTTAGGTATAAAATATTCCATTAATTTTTCTGATTTAATTTTAAATTTAAGTTATAGTTCTTGTATTTCGAAAAATTTAGGCTCTTCGTTGAGTTCATGTGAATATTTTGAAAAAATTAAAATTTTGTTTTCATCTAATGATTTGACGACACTTGATCAGGCTCTTTGTTATGATCAAATTGTATATAACAACACAGTGTATAAAATCAATCATATATTAACAGCTTTATTTGACAATAATATATTAGTATATAAATTAAAAAAAATTATATGTTCTGATGATAAAGTGTTTTTTTTATGTCATACTCTAAATGTACTGTCTTATAACAAACATTTTGTAAGTTATATTGTCTCAAATGTTGATACTGGTCTATATGTTTTGAAAAGTAATACATATTTCATGGGTCCTCCAATTCATTTATATCATCTAAATAATAAAGACACGGTAATACGGGTCAAACATTACTTTACATAGAATATTTATTAAAATACATATAATTTGATTTATGTTATAACTTATAGTATAAGTTATACATACAACAGTATTTTTTATATAAACTTATGTACATTTTTATTTAACTGATGTTTAATCTAATCCTAAATTATAAGGAACCTATGTATTATTATTTCATTTATTAATATTGTATTGTAATGTATTGTATCTAATTATGTTTATTTTTTAATTTTTTGATAAACACAGCTTTGATCTATATATATTTGATCAATATATAATTTTGATAACATTATATATATTTATATTATTTATAACATTATATACTATATTTTTCTTGTTCATAAATTGTATTAGGAAATCATATGTACTTTCAAACAATAAAAAAGATTCTACTTATAGTAAAATGATAAAGTGTTATTTATATCAACTGTATAATTTTTTATTATAATTTTCAAAGAAATCATAGTTTTTATGAAAAAAAAAAAAATTTGTTTTAAAACCAAGAATTGTTTTAAAATAAGGATAAATAGCATAAAAACAATGCTTACAGTTCATTATTTGTTTATATATAAATCAAATTAATTTAATCCCAATACTCTTTAAAAATAAGAAATTATAACATACAATCAATGCAAGAGTTTCCTTTTTTTTAAATTTGTTGAGAAATCAATTTAAAGACATTTTTCTTTAAATTAAATACTATTTGACTTTTTTTATCTTTAAATTAATGCACATAATTTTCATTAATTTAATCTCTGAGTAATTAAATTTATGGATTACAGAATTATAATCAATGAAATAAAACATTGGTTTAATGAAATTTATTTAGCTTTAATATAATATTATATTATGCTATATTTCTATGAATCGATATCATAGGCTCCAAATCATACCCGTTTTTCCTTAGTATTATATACCTTTTTCATTGATATTAGTAAATATTTTTCTGAGTGTATGTGTGTGCGTGTGCGTGTGTGTCTCTTGAAACGTTTTGTGAAAGTGCTTATTTTTTATATTTTTCGTTTCAAAAGGAATTTGATCGTTCCACCAAAAGTCATTTCATTTTTCCAAACACCCGCTTTCCGCTGCACAACGTGCTAGCAATCCATTTGGCTGTAATAATAATTTATCCACATTTTTCAACTCGAAATTATTATCTATTTGTCAATCGAATCCTTTTCTGACATTCTAAACAATGTCAAAGTGATTTTTTTTCTTTTAATATTTCATATATACAAAGAATCATATTGTTCTCGCAAAAACTTTGTATTGTATGTTGAAAATGGATATATTTGTATTTTTTGAGATACACTTTTTATTTGTTAAACTATAAAAACAAGAATATTTTCTATATATTTTAATGTTAAACATTAACAAATTAAGAAGATGAAAATATTAAAAACCAACAGTCGACAGTAGACGTATTCGAATTTGGATAGTTACTAGAATTAATATTTTAGAGATAATATTTTTCGATTTCTATTTCTGTCGATTTTTTTAATCAGTTGCTACCTTTAATCATATTTTATGGGCAAAAGGTCATAACTTTTATTAAAAAAAAGTAACCTAGTATTTAATGTCAAATATGAATAATATAAATCCATCGTCGACACCTATGACAATAAATTAATAATTTAATAAACCCATCAAACAATCGTAAACGTACACTAAAAGACATCTTATTATAATAATTCGGTGAAAACCATGATTAAATGGAGTTTAATGTATAAAATTTGTCGTTTATTCGAAATACATCGTAAATATTATATTTCATCAACGTGTAATAATTTAATTTAATTCGTGGAAATTAATTTTCCGGTTAATACATATTTTCTTTGGAATTTTTAAGGTGAACAACCTTTTGTAGGTTTTTATGTATTATATTAGTATTGTATTAAGTTTTGACAATATTGTGTCAATTAGGTATTATAAATTTGAATTATTTAATGAAAATAATCCAATAGAAGAAAAGTTACATATTATAATACAGGCAATTATTTTTGGTGTAATTTATTAATAATCAAATCCGATAGTATACAATTAATTAATAAAACCAAATAATTAATCATGTACCTCCAAATGTAATAATATTTTCATGATGAAATATTTGTTCTCCTAAGTCCGCATCATGAATTTCGTACCTCGTTTGCTGTGATCGATTGGAATAATTCAAGTACACATAATGCCTTAATTTGTTTTAATTTCAGTCATATCTAGTACTACAATATGTGCACTATATTAACATTATTCTAAATATAACTATTTAAGAATAAGGTTTTAGAACATATTTAATATTCATCGCGAATAGACTATGCTTCCATGTATTCCGTAATGGTGATTCAGAATTGTACTGGAATAGCTCCCCAGAGTAATTTTTCCCTGTACCCTGCTGTTCCAAGATTATGATTTTGCATAACACTTTAAGGCACAGCCAATCATGTCCCTCAGGCCTTAGATGTATTCTATTAAAAGTGATATATAATGTTGCAGTGAAGAGTAGTAAATACGTGCACATTTTTTGGGTTTCGGTATCTTAATAAAAGTTAAAAAACCAATAGCAATAATATAAAATACTATAGTAAATGACATAGTACATAATAAATGTGTATACTTTATATACAGCTGATATTTTAAAAAAAATGTATGAAGTAGAAAAACATAGTATTTGAAACTGAAAAATCTATTATGTGAAGATAAAGTAAAAAAACAACATTTTTATTAACAAAAAATTGTTTAATAAGTAATAACTATGGTTTCATAAGGTATGAACACGTTATTAAATGTTTTAAATGTAAATGATTTAAATATTTTTAGTTTAGTTCAACAATAGATAATTATATTTTTAGTTGGACGACTGAGTTAATGTTAACCATAATGTTATACTAGTGATGTATAGGTTATATAGTGTTATTTGATGTCAATTATGTAAATTAAATAATAACGTAAATGCCTAGGCAATATCATAAATACCTAAAATGAATGGACGATATCGTCAATGAATAGGCTTCAACTGACAACATAGGAAATATAATTTCTTTAACTAGAGAAATTACATAATAATAATAATAATAACAATAACATTTAATACTAATAGATAATGTTGATCATTTTTTTAAGCGAAATATTTTCTCTATTGTACCATTGTACTTTAAATTGCATAAAATTTTATTTTTTCATAAGCATATCTATAAGTGTGGCATACTGTTTTACAGATGTATCAAGTATAGACTT